GAGATGTTGCCATGAGGACGATCTACTCGTCATGGTCGTGATGATCATCATGATGGTCGTGATGATCGTCATGATAGTCGTGATGATCGTCATGATAGTCGTGATGATCGTCATGATGGTCATCGTGGTGGTCATCATGGTCGTCATGATGGTAATCATGGTCATCGTCGTCCTTCGCCTTCTTCGGCGCACACGCCTTCACGCACGCCACGTAATTCGGCTCGCACCCCACCTTCTTCGCCTGGTAGCACTGGCGGCGGTGGTACAGGCACCAGTCCTTGCAGCCCCACTTGCCGTACTTGCAGCTCTTGAACGACCGGTACGCCTTGCGCCCGCACGTCTTAGCATGCGCCTCGCACGTCGCCATGCCCTCGGAGGAACCCGACGCTTTCTCTGCGCACTCGTGCTTCTTCTCCGCGCACTTCTTCTGCTTGAGCTGGAATTTTTGCATGCACGTGAGAGGCTTCGGCATAGGCTTTGGCTTCTCTTTCTTCTCGTGATGATCGTCGTCGTCGTGATGGTCGTGATGATCGTCGTCGTGATGATCGTCGTCGTGATGATCGTCATGATGATCGTGATGGTCGTCGGTCGTCGTCGTGATGGTCGTGGTGGTCGTCATGGTGATCGTTATGATCATGGTCCAGGAATCGCCTGGCTGCGACAGTCGGGATGATATACCTCATCGGACGAAAACTGCTGCCCAATTTCGCGGTTGCGAAAGGACAAGGGCCCCCCTCGGGCCTGACGAAACCCTTGACGAGCACGGAGTGGCAAACTAGGGTGAAGTGGCACTGCTCCTAGGCCCGCGAGCCCTCGGGATTGTTGACGGACTGACGACCTCGGGTTTCGCTGAGACAAACCCGAGAAGGATATCTCAGCGCGTGGCAATTTCCCAGCTCGACACGTCGAGCCGCGATCTTCGCCACACGGCAACAAAGGGACGATCGGGATCGAACGTGGGCTGCCACGATCGCCACGTCGGTGCCACGCGTCGCTCCCTGGTCGATCTGTTTTTCGCGGGAACACTGCGCGCCGACCTTTTTTTTGCGGGATAAAAAAACCCGCGTATAACGCAATGTCGGTGTCGCCCACCTATCCAACGGCTGATAAGCGAGTTACGCGTCTTACCCCGACCGGCCCCGCCGCTATCTAGGTGCAGCAAATCGAACCACACACAGGCTGGCGCCAGAGGGAATGTCGGTGTCAATCAAGAGAGGCTTTTTGTCGGCATGACACACGGCTCTGCGTGATGTGATGATAAAATCACGCGAAAAGTCGGCGGCCCCGGCATTCATGGTGCGAGGCACCAATGGTGAGTCGACGACACGTAGCGCATGCCCATGACACCGCGGAATGGCCAGGCGTTAAGCTCAGCGAGTGCATCGCGGCGTACCATTAGCCATGCATGGCACGTGGCACATCGGAAACTCCGCCGCCGAACGTGGATACATGCACGCTGACACTTGCAAATGGGTTTGCGTGGAGCGCGACAGGTTGGAGTCGCTCACGACCATACCCCTCCACCTCCAAGCCCTGGTCGCTCATTCTGCCATTCTGTCTGTGTTCCTTCCCTCTCGTGTAGAGCATGCGCCCTCTGGCACTAAACATTTTCCCCTATCATCCTATCATCATGATTGTAGGTTCCTCGGTCGCCGACCAGACGAGCTCATCGGCATAGTTTGCGTCGACTTGGCTGAGACGCCGACCAGGTCCGTACTTAGGACACCTATCGGTTAGACACCGACCTCGAGCGCCGACTTCCAAATTGGCCAACGCCAGCAACTGCCTAGGTCCAATGTTCGAAACTCTGCCGAATCGCCCTCTTCCAGCACTGGGCGAAAAGGGTCGTGAATATCAACACCGCAACGATAAAAAAGCGCCGAGATGCGACCCTCATCCAGCCGGAGGTAAGCCATCACTAAAGTCAGCGTCGCCCAGTTACAAATGTGTGTTAACGCCCCTCACCGCCAACGGCATTCTCCGACCATTGCAAGAAATCTCTGTTCGATTGGACGCCGAATACGAGGTAATGCCCGTCCGCCAGACGCTGTTGTATCCGTGATGACGCTCCCGCACTAGGTCCTTCACGATGCCACTACCCCCCAAGCAGTTCCTCGCCTGCACACGAGAGTGACGATAATGACGAGGTGGTTCAAGTAACCGCTCAGGAGGCCCAAAGCGCGGCAAACGTCATCGGCCTAGAACTGCTTGACCTACACACTGCCATCACCACCACCCCGTGCATCGTTTAGCCCAAGAACCCGCGGCAGGCTCTCACAGGACCACACGCCAAGGAGCGGCGTGCAGCTATGGATGCGGAACTGAAAGCACTATAATCACGCGAAACATGGGTCCTAGTCGATCGTACAACAGCGAAGAGGAGGAGAGTGCTAAGCGGAAAGTGGGTCTTTCGTCTCAAGACCGCCGCTGACGGCACTATCGACCAGCCTTACGGCATCGACTTCGACCAAACCTTCGCCCCCGTGAGCCGCCATATCTCTGTGTGAATTCTTCTCGCCATCGCTGCCGCCAAGCACTTACCACTGCGGCGGATCAACATCAAGAACGTGTTCTTATACGCGTAAGACGATGCGACCATCTTCGTGGAGCAGCCGCACACCTTCAAGGAAGGAGACCCCAGGGTCTACCAACTGTGTTGAACTATATATGATGTTTAGGTTTTGTAGGCTACAGTGGGGTAGCCACTAAGGGGTACAACCCCTTTAGGGTTTCATATGTGTATCCCATTTCCTCTCTTAGTTCACCATTCCAGTCTAGTATTCTAACATGGTATTAAGAGCCATAGGTCCTTAGGACCTAATTTTCTTCATCGGGCCCACCTGTTACCGCGTTACCCCACCGCCCTACCTACTGCCTACTGCCTGCCTGCTGCCTGCTGTTACGAGCCGCACGCCAAACCAGTCGCGCGCCGCCTAAGCGCCCCGCGCGCCACCTAGCCTGCTGCCCGCAGCCGCGCGCGCTGCTCGCCAGCCCCGCCGTGCGCCGCCTAAGCGCCCCGTGCGCTGCCTCGTCGACCGGTCGCAGCCCCGCGCGCCGCCCGCTAGGCCCGCCGCGCGCCGCCTTCGCGCCCCTCGCGCTGCCTCGCCAGGCGCTCGCAGCCCCGCGCACCGCCCGCCGTGCCCCTGCTTCTGCGGCTGCCTGTGACGCGCGAGGCTGCCGCCGCCGCGCCTGCCTGCTGCCCCGCTTAGGGCCCCGCGCGCCGCCGTCAGGAGCCCTGCCGGCTGCCTGCTGCCCCGCGCGCGCTGCCCGCCTCCCCGCGCCTGCCTGCTGCCCCGCTTAGGGCCCCGCGCGCCGCCGTCAGGAGCCCTGCCGGCCGCCTGCTGCCCCGCACGCGCTGCCCGCCTCCTCCCCTGCTGGCCGCCTGCTACCCTGCGCGCGCCGCCCGCCACCTGCCCTACCAGCTGCCCCGCGCGCCGCCTGCCTCCTGCCTTGCCGGCCTCTTGCGACCCTGATTGCCGCCTGCCCACTGCTCTGCCGGCCACCTACTGCCCTGCGCGCCGCCTAACTGCTGCCTTGCACCGCTCCCAATGGCGACCTACAATGTTCTCACTTTTGACGTAGAGGGCCGCCTGATCGAATTTGACACCTGGCTAGACGACCTTAAGCTCTACCTTCAGTGCGAATCGAAGGATCGTGTGTCCCTGTTCGCTCATACGTCCGGTAGCTCAAGTGCTCCTGCAGCCGATGCTGACGCCGACACTCGCGACCAGTGGCTTACTCGCGACGCTGCTGCTTGCCTAGCTGTTTGCAACCAACTTGAAATGATCAGGACAAGAGGCAACTCACTGATGCGGCTGCCCATATGCCGGCATGCGCCCTGGGGGAAACCTTGGGAATTGCTGAGGGCATGTTTTTACGCTCTTATCAGGCAAACCTCTTGTTAGGCATGCCTGGTAAAATTCACGAGGGTTTTTGGGTTTAGGGAAATTTCAGTGTGTTTTGACACGAACCTGATAAGAGGTTGGCCTGATAAGGGGCCGTAGGAACATGCCCTGATTCCACGCGGAGGATCTTTCAGCGGTAGATCCAAGGGCACTAAGACTGGAAGAGTCATTTCCAGTACCACCAGGCAGTGGCAATTGAGGAGAGTCAAGACGACAGCAATGATTAATAAAAGTAGATACTCACTGATACGGCTGCCCGTAGGACGGTATGCGGCCAGGAGGAGCCTCGGGATCTGCTGATTCCACTCGTAGGATCTTCCAGTGGTAGTGTCCCAGCACCAGGCAGTCAACCGTTATCATCGGGCATTGCCCTCCAAGTGCCCCCCCTTCCTCATATGCCCCCCTTTCCTCATGTGCCCTTGCTCCCCCCCCTGCTGCTGCTGCCCCTGTTCCTGCTGCTGTCCCTGTTCCTGCTGCTGCTGCAGGCATTACACTGGCTGATGATGCTTCCATTTCAGCAGCTGCTACAGCCCCTGCAGTTGTGCCATCCTGGATTTCTGGCAGTACAGGCACTGTCTGCTGCTGTTTTACATTCGATTTGCCAAGCCTAGAGGGAGGCTGTGGCTTCTGTGGTTCGCTAAGTGCAGGGGAGGGCGGGGTTCGATTCCGGCTGCTGCGCATTGCCTTGAGGCTGCAGATGCTCACTCGCACATGGATGGGCGTCAGGTTGAAGCCCTGGTTCGTTTGCCACTGAATGGTGGGGAGGGGTTGCAGGTATGACGAGAGGATAAAGGCAAAGCTGTGAATAGGGGACAAAGTTGCTTAGTCGCACATGGATGGGCGTCAGGTTGAAGCCCTGGTTCGTTTGCCACTGAACGGTGGAAAGGGTTTACAGATATCAGAAAAGGTAGACAAATGTTTTTTTCCACCCGAATCGGGTGAAGAATGAATCAACTCATGAGCTAGGGGATCGCCACGAGCGCACCTCAATCTCTGTCCGTTCGTCCGTGTCCAACCCCTCCATAAGCTTCTCCTTCCACTTCCTCTTTAATTAAATCCCAACAAATTCATTCATCTTATTACATAAGGGGATCGTCACGAGCGCACCTCAATCTCTGTCCGTTCGTCCGTGTCCAACCCCTCCATAAGCTTCTCCTTCCACTGCCCCGACACCAGATCGTCCATCTTAACACCCTCCACCCTCCCCCGCTTCTGCCACCTCCTCCTCTTCCTCTCCTCCTCACTCAACCCCCTCACTCCCCCCTCCCCTTCTCCCCCTTCCTCCTCCTCCTCCTCCTCCTCCTCCTCCTCCTCCTCCTCCTCCTCCTCCTCCTCTTCTGCTCCCCCTCTCAGCTCCCTCTCCTGCACGAACCTCGCAGTCAGCAGCATGTCCTCTCCGTCCTCCTCGCTCTCCCTTCTCAGCGTCAGCAGCATCTGATGCCCGTTGGGCTCCAATCTAAACTTGGACGGAGGGGGCTCCAACAATGGCTGGGGTTCGGGTGGTGAGAAAAGAAGGGGTATGGAAAAACGAGCTCTCTTCTCTTTCCCTTCTGGCCTCCCTCTCTCCTGCACGAACCTCGCAGTCAGCAGCATGTCCTCTCCGTCCTCCTCGTTCTCTCTCCTCAGAGTCAGCAGCATCTGATGTCAGCTGGGCTCCAATCTAAACTTGGACGGAGGAGGCTCCAGCAGAGGCTGGGGTATCGGGAGACACTTCAAGGGGAAGGAAAGGGGGGAGAGAGGGAGGCGAGCAGAGTCGACTGAAGAACTTACAACTTCACCATCTTCCTCCTCGTTCTCTCTTCTCAGCGTCAGCAGCATCTGATGTCCGCTGGGCTCCAGTCTAAACTTGGACGGATTAGGCTCCAGCAGAGGCTGGGGTTTGGGTGATGCCTAAGGGTTGGGTATGGAAAATCAGGCTCTCTTTCCTTCCTCGCCTTCCTCTACACCGTACGACAAACTTGTAGACGAGGCTCGCCATGAGGCTTGGCATGAAGTTCGAAACTGAGCTGGCTTGCCGTACCTCGGGCATGACGCTCGGGTACTCTACGTCCCACGCCAGCTTCCTTTCGAAGCACTCGCGAAACTTCTCATTCGACCCTGGCGGGAATGTCGAATACGCCACCTCAATTTCCCCCTCCTCCACGCGTCTCCTCCAATCCCTCCGCGGTGCCGGATTTCCCTGTTCCTGCTGTGCGGGTTCAGACCTCCCCCAGGTCCGCCGTCCTCCTGCCGCATTCGCCCCGCCTTGCCATCCCAAGTGCCCAGATCAGTAACTACCCCGAGAGCGGCAAGATCAGTTGCACACTCTTGAAACTACCCCGAGAGCGACAAGACCAGCGTGGGACCTGCGGGCAGCTATCGAGGAGTGAAGCTCGACGACTGCAGCTGATCTTGCTGGTCGACGAGCGGGCTGTCGACGAGGGTAGTTCGACGGGCGCGGTGGTCGACGAGGGGTTCCTTGACAAAGGCGCGCACTAGGTGGTCGACCAGGTCGACCAGGTTACCTGCTCGGCGAGTTCTACGGAGGCACGCGACCGTTGTCGAGGTCGCGATGGCGAAGGCGACTTCGGGCTGGTATCCCAAAGTCGATGTGGCTTGTTAGGCGCAAACCACAGCCTAGCCGAGCGCGCGCACTTTAGCCAGCAGAAAACCGCTAAGGCCCTGTTCGACGCAGTAGTCGCTCGTTACAGCTCGCCTGCCACTGCTGCGCTAGGCCATCTCATTCTGCCCTACCTCTTTCCTGACCTATCCGCCTTTCCCACGGTCGCTGATCTTAACCTTCGCACCAGCGACGCTCGTGTGGGTGCTGCGACCCCAGCCGAGTTTCTTGCCAAGAAACCCCCTCCTATCCACTACACCCTCTACCTCCTAGTCACTCGCCTCCCTGACTCTCTTCGCACTGTCAGGGACCTCTTTCTTGCCATGGACCTTAGAGCTCACTATCGACCTCCTCGAGCAGCACCTTACAGCAGCCGAGACTAGCATTAACGCTGTAGGCGCTTCTTGTGGCACTCCTCGCACCCCCTTCTTCGAGGGGTGTTCCCCTTCTCCCTTCCTCCCCTCTGTCGCCACTGCTGCTGCTGTCGACCTCCTTGGTGCTGAGGAGGTTGGGGCTGCGTCTGTTCCTGGTGGGAGGCGCCGCAGCGGCAAGGGCAAGGGAGGCAAGGGTGGTGGGGGTGGCGGGGGTGGAGGCGGTGGTAGAGGCTAGGGTGGCGGAGGAGGAGGCGGTGGGAGTGGCGGGGGTGGGGGTGGGGGTACTGGTGCCGGGGTCAGTGGTGGCGGCGGCAGTGGGAGTGGCGGCGGCGGGGGTGGCAGCAGTGGGAGTGGCGACGGCGCCGGTGGCAGCGGTCGCGGTGGTGCAGCCCAGCGCGGTGGTTCTGGAGGCAGCCAGGCACAGCAGCAGCAGCGCCAGCGCGCGCCCCGTACGCCGCATGAGCTTCGTGAGTGGTACGCGCAGCGTCAGTCGCCTGGGGGTGGTGGTACCTGCCCGTATGTCATTCGTACGGGGGAGCGCTATGGTCAGACGTGCGGGAGGCTTCACACTGAGCACCGCTGCTTTTCCCGTCTTAGTGACGCCTGGCATGCTCAGTTTCCGGACTGCACTGAGATGCCCAACTGGGCGGAGCTGCTTAAGAGGGGCGTAGATATCTTTGATCTTGACTATGATGCTATCCTTGCTGCCATGTATGCATTGACTGTTAGTGCTGAGGGTGACTGTTAACTGTGTGTTCCGCCAGACCCCGGTATAGCGGCTACTGCTCCAGGTGCTTGCGAGTCTACTGCTCTAGGTGCTAGTGAGTCTGATCTCTCAAGTACTCATGCGCCTACTGAGGCCTTGTACACTTTCACGCTAGACTCAGGTGCCTCCCGCTGCTTCTTTCGCGACAACACCACAGTCACACCGCTCCCTGCACCTGTTCCGGTCTCCCTTGCTGACCCCTCCGGGGGCCCTGTCCTTGCACGTTCCTCCACTGTCCTCCCGTGTCCGACGGTCCCGTCTGGCTCACTCACGGGTCTCCACCTCCCCTCGTTCTCTACGAACCTGGTGAGTAACGCCGTCATCCAGGATGAGTGGGTTGACACCTTCACCCCTGGAGGACGTCGTGTGGCGATCTGCACGTGTGCCCGCACGGGCCGCCACCTGGCCACGTTCACCCGTCGGCCTGGGTCGAGTCTGTACACCCTGACTGTCGGGTCTCCCCAGGTTGCTGCTACTGGTCTGGTGTCCTTGTCCGGTCCGGAGAGTGCCCCCTGCTTGTGTCGTCATCTGTCGCACCAGACTCTCCTCTGGCACCACCGCCTCGGTCACCCCTCTCTGCCGCGCCTCCGTGGCATGCACTCCCGTCTACTTGTCCCTGGTCTTCCCCAGTCGCTGCCGTCGCTCCCACGCTCGCCTGCCCCGCCGTGTCTTCCTTGCGTCGAGGGGCGGCAGCGCGCCGCTCCTCACTCCTCCTCGTTTCCCCCGACAGACGCTCCCCTGCAGACTCTCCACATGGACGTGTGGGGCCCAGCCCGCGTCCAGGGACAGGGCCGCGAGCGGTACTTTCTGCTGGTTGTTGACGACTACTCGCGGTACACCACGGTCTTCCCCTTGCGCAGCAAGGGTGAGGTCCCTGCTGTTCTGATCCCTTGGATCCGCGCTGTTCGTCTCCAGCTCCGCGAGCGTTTCCAGACGGACCTTCCCGTCCTGTGTCTGCACTCTGACAGAGGTGGTGAGTTCTCCTCCGACCTCTTGCGGGACTTTTGTCAGGGGGAGGGCATCCTCCAGTCGTTCACGCTTCCGGCCTCTCCGCAGCAGAATGGGGTTGCTGAGCGCCACATTGGCCTAGTCATGGAGGTCGCTCGTACCTCTATGATCCATGCGGCTGCTCCCCATTTTCTGTGGCCGTTTGCGGTCCGGTACGCTGCGCATCAGCTCAACCTCTGGCCTCGTGTCTCCTTGCCGGAGACCTCGCCCACACTGCGGTGGACGGGAGAGGTTGGCGATGCGTCGCGCTTCTGGGTCTGGGGCTCTCGTGCCTTTGTCCGCGATACCACCGCGGACAAGCTCTCTGCTCGTGCCATTCCCTGCGTCTTCCTTGGCTTTCCCCCTGACGCGCGTGGCTGGCAGTTTTACCACCCCACCTCGCGTCGTGTTCTGTCCTCTCAGGATGTCACGTTTGACGAGTCGGTTCCCTTTTACTGTCTCTTCCCCTACCGCACTGCCTCTCTCCCCCCCCTCGCTGCTCTTCCTCACTCCAGGTCCAACCCCGGTAGACCCCCTCCCCCCTCCTTCAGGTGTCTCTCAGGTAGACCCCCCTCCCCTGGTTGAGCCTGTCGAGGTCACTGGTGACTCTGGTGCTGCTGGAGGAGGTTCTGCTAGGGGTCCTCTGTCTGGGGGTGCTGAGCCTGCGGGTGCGGAGCCTGGGGGTGCTGAGCCTGAGCGCGTGGAGCCTGGGGGTGCTGAGCCTGAGCGTGAGGAGCCTGGGGGTGCTGAGCCTGGGGGTGCTGAGCCTGAGCGTGTGGAGCCTGGGGGTGCTGTGCCAAGGCGTGAGGAGCCTGGGATTGGTGAGCTTGAGGGTGCTGTGCTTGAGCGCGTGGAGCCTGGGGGTGCTGAGCCTGGGGGTGCTGAGCTTGGGTCTAGCGGGCAGGAGCCTCTCTCCCTGCGGCAGCTACGTGAGTGGTACACTCGACGCTACTGCCGTTCGCGTGGCGCTGCTGGTGCTGGGAGCCCGGCCACTGGAGCTGCTGGAGCTGCTGGCACTGCTGGTGGTGGCGCTACTGGGGCTGGAGGTGCTGGGACTGCTGGACCTACTGACGCTGCTGGTGCTGGAGGAGCCCCTGGTGCTGTTGGTCCCGGAGGTGCTCGTACTGGAGGTACTGGAGCTGCCGGGGCTGGTGGTGCTCGTCCTGGGGCTACTGGAGCCGTCGGTGCTGACACTGGAGACGCTGGAGCTGGAGACACTGGGACTGGAGGTCCTGGTGCTGGAGGCGCTGACGCTGGAGGTCCTGGTGCTGGAGACTCTGGGGCGGGAGGAGTTGGAGCTGGTGACGCTAGCACTGGAGGTGCTGCGCAGCGGCGTCTGTTCTTCACTCCGCCGTCGCCGTCGTCTCTCCCACCGCCCGACTCCGTGCTTCGTCAGGTTCTTACCCTCCCGTCTTCTACTGGTTTTCCGTTACAGCCTGGCTCTCCACTGCCTGCTCCTTCTCCTTACACTGAGCAGACGGACTCGCTTACTGAGCGTCGTGAGCCTCCGTCTTGTCCTGCCTCGCCTGTTCGCGCCGCTCGCACTGCTCGCCGTGTCCTGCGTCCGCGTCCTCCTCCTGTGCCAGGCACTCACACTATGGCACTTCGTCCCTCCTCTGCTCCGCAGCGTGTCCCTCTGCTGTCTCCTCCTGCGTCCTCTCTTCCTGAGCTTCCTGACCCTGAGTCCGACGCTGTTCTGGCTATTGTTGTCACTGACCCGTCGTTTGAGTCTGCTGCTGCGTCTGCCTTAGTTGCTGTATGTCGTCTAGACTACGCTGCCAGTCTAGTTGCTGAGTCTGAGTCTGTCTGTCCTCCATCCGTCGGGGGTGAGTGTGCTCTTGGCACGGACGTCCTTGAGGACAGGCACGAGGACCTTGAGTGTCTTGCAGCCGCTGCGCCTCATCTCGTGTCC